CATCTTTCTTGAACTGGGGAGCCCAGAACTGGACAGAGTACTCCAGATGAGGCCTCACCAGGGCAGTGTAGAGGGGAAGGAGAACCTCCCTCGTCCTGCTGGCCACACTCTGCTTCATGCACCCCAGGATTCCACACACCTTTTGCAACATTCAGTAGTCTATCCAATATTATGGACAGAGTTACCATACGCTGTTGACTTCACAGACTGCTGTCCAGTGTCTACTGGCCCTTTTCAAACTGCTCATTAAGTCATCTATATGCTGTATCGCTCTCCCATCTTTAAAGAAGTATGTCCATCCTTACTACTACCTGTCTTCAACATTTAATACAGTTTATTACCCTTCCCTGCTGTTACATCTCAAAGAATGTATAGGGATCAAACAAGTCCCTAAAATGCTTTATCTGTCTTTCCCCTAAGATAAAATCCAAACAAACACTTGGAAGATCTGGTAAGAGAACACAACCTGAAGTGTCACAAATATGTGTACAGTTATGTGCTGTCTCTCTTTCGTATCTAATAGATAGCTCTATTCCCAGCTTCCTGAATGCTTGCCTGAAATGACCTCTTGCATGCAGAATGTCCTGAACTCAAACAAGACTGAGATGATGTTAGTTAAAGAAAAAAAAAAAAAAAAAGAAAAAACAGAAAAAAAAGTATTTCCTTGAAGAATATATTTTCACTGGAATGTACTCCACCTTTGGGATCCCCACTCACATTAATTTTCTGAAATCTTGGACCCTCTTACTGTTCTAGGATGCCTGTTACTGACTGTATGTGCCCAGACAGTTTAGCCACCTTGTTAGAGGCAGATGAGGTTACAGCTGCTTAGGAGTTACTGGCATGCTGATTCAGTCATCACATAAAAATTCATTACATTTACAGGCATTAGTATATACCATGGAAGAACTTGCACCGTAACAGAACTCAATACCGTATCTGCATGAAGACAGAGAGTATTTTTCTTATTTCTGCGGTTATGTTCTGGACAAAATTCAACTACTATTCCAAAAAGGAACCATAGAGATCCTGCATTACCTTGGGTTTTACTTGGTTGTGAATTTGGTTTTCATCTGCTTTTACTAGATAAAGAGAAGAATAGAAAAAGCAGAAAACTGAACTTTCTTGTTCTAAAAAAAGAAAAATGTTTGGTAGGTATGCGTTATACCGTAAGAATTCTCTGAAACAATCTATTAGGGGTATCATTCAACCAGAAATGGAAAGAAAAAGATATCATAGAATGGTAAGGGTTGGAAAGGACCTTAAAGATCATCTAGTTCCAGCCCCCCTGGCCATGAGCAGGGACATCTTCCACTAGACCAGGTTGCTCAGAGCTCCATCGAACCTGGCCTTGAACACTGCGGGGGGGGCCAGCCACAGCTTCTCTGGGCAACCTGTTCCAGTGCCTCATCACCCTCATGGTGAAGAATTTCTTCCTAATATCTAATCTAAATCTGCCCTCTTTTAATTTACAGCCATTCCGCCTTGTCCTGTCACTACACACCCTTGTAAAAAATCTCTCTCCAGCTTTCTTGTAGGGCCATTCAGGTACTGGAAGGCTGTCATAAGGTCTCCCCCTGGAGCCTTCTCTTCTCCAGGCTGAACAGCCCCAATATTGTTACAACTTGGGATTCTCTTTAATCTTTCATAGGACAAGCCTGTTGTCAAAGAAGGAAATATTCCCAAGCTCATTTCAGTTTCTTAGATGATTAAAATTCTCTTCCAAGACTTACGGGGTGTGGGAAACCGTATATATGAGTCTTATTTCAGAAGCATGTTCAACAATGGATCATATGCACTTCAGCATTAATAGCTTTTATATTCTGATTCATACTGTAGTCTCCTTTGTTCCTTCAGATCACTCCCAGATATTTTTCAAGTTAATCTTAAAAAAATTAGTTCTGTCTTGGCAGATATGGATTCCTTGATCTCTTGTGTAGGTGTTTTCCAAAACATGTCTTGAGCAACTGTGGCTGGTATTGTTTAGACCTGTGTGGGAAATATATCACACATTGGAAATGTACCTGAACATTTGGGTTATGGCCATCTTAAACTGTATTTTCACATATTTGTTTAGATTTAGCACCTCAGAGATTTCCCATAACCTATAAAACAAAGCTCTTTGATTGAATACTTGCTGTAGTAGTGAAGTAGAGCAGAAAAGTAACACGACTGCTCCGTTACATGACTGGACATGACCCTGGAGAGTGCCATGTTCAGTTAAAAAAAATATTTCACTCTTGGCTGAAGTTCTTGATGCTTTGTAGTCTCATTCTGTGAGCTGGCAGCAATGTAAGTCAGAAGCAGGTGTACCCAACTGAAAATACTTTGAGGTGATATATGTGTGGTATTAATGGGAATTAGACTCCCTTAACAAACGAAGCGTGCTTGTAGACAGCACTGCAATTTTTTTCCCTTAATCTTGTAAGTAGCAGCTAAGACCGATTTCATGTATTCAAGTATTTTACTAATATACAGAGGAAAGTTCCTTTAAACATAGACATGCATCAGGCTAACATAAAGAAGTAACTTTAGATCAAAAAGATTCTATAAATTATACAAGAAGGCATAACAAATTTCCCTGTCCTTTCCTCTTTTCTTCTGTTCCCATCCACTGGAATATTTTTGGTTTTTTTGAACTCGGAACTCTTACTTGCTCACGTAGCACTGCCGCTAGATTTTGTTCTTCATTGCAATTTAGCTGTTTTAGTGCTAGCTCAGATTTCTTTTGCATACCCAAGAGAGAGAGGTGCACTGAAAAGCCTACTCATGTGTCGTGAAAAGCTCTGTATTTTTACATTTCACAAATATTTTAAAACAGACCAAAGAAGATTTTGAAATTGCAGTGGACACTTGAACTTTTTGCTAGTTTAACTTCTGTTAATTAAATTAGACATTCTGCAAAGAGGTTAATTTTTGTTTTGAAACTGTCACATCTTTTCAAATAATTCGATAGACTGATTAGGGCACAACATATGAGCTCAAAGTAAACAATGCAGAACCAGTTTCAAGATTCTGAATAAGACTTGAGATTTGTTTTCTTAGCCTCAAAACAAAATACTCTTTTTTTTTTTTCCCCCCTAAGGCCTGTCAGGAATCTGAGAACACATGTTGATTTTATTAAAGGGGTAAATTACTCTCATTTTGAAAGGCATGCATATATCAGATGTACATTGGAGTAATGATTATGGCCAAAAGGGATTTTTTTTTGTAACTAATGCTAATAGTGATGCCAGCTTTTCTTGTTTCTTCCTCATTCCACTCCATTTTCTTTGTTTTCCCTCAAAAAATAATGAAATGTGGTGAATATGCATAAATCTTGCATACAATGCCCCTTTGTTAGGAAGGTGCTTTAAAGAAACAACAGATTATGCGATTACCTAATGTTCAGCTAAATAAGCACTGCATCCACACTCTTAATTAATGCTGTCAGTATGTAAAAGGCAATGTCTGTGTTAATGTAGGGCCTATATTTGACTTTGTACATCCAGGAAGAGAAGCAACTACATTTCAGTTCATAGGTAAAGTGTAATCCTAATATGCACAGCAAGAAAGCCCTTGCCAGTAATAAATAGGATTTTGCTATTTGGCTTTTCATTGGAGATTGCTCTGTCACCAGTTCTAGTTTAAGGAATCTAATTTCTATCCTCACCACTGAAAGGAATACAATTTTAAAGAAATAATAAGGGAGAACAGAGAAAGTGGCAAAGACATGAAAAGCAGTGAATGGGATAGGAATTAGGTTTTTCATTTACTTTTTTCTGTTGATAACCAAAACTAAAGAAGACTACTTCCACAGCTGCTTGGGAAGAAGAGTACGAGTAGAAAAGTAAAAATTTTTTTTTTCTCAACTTTTTTTAAAAGGATTTAAAAGTTAAATAGCTCCTAAAGAATACAAAATACAGGAACAAGAAAAATTTGAGACAAACCATGGTGTAATTTCTGTATTTCTGTCTTTCTGTAACTTCTCTGAAAAGGTCCATTATGGACCACCTAAATACAGTTAGTCGGAGTTTTTCAGTCCAGTTGCCAAATCAGGAATACATTGTTTGCATAGTTGTGTTTCATCTTTGCTCTATCTTCATGTAAGCCCATGCACCTTTGCTTCACATCTCCCAGGCTCATGACTTTCCAGCATCCAAAACTCCTGGGGCTTACAGCTTCCATAACTTCAGACCGAGCCTCATCAGACAGCTTGCCCTGAAGCAGGGACTCCGTTCCTTTTCTCAGGGAATTTTGAAATGACCGGTATTTATTCTGAACTGGGGAGGAGCGTCTAGTTAACCACAGGCATCCACCTTGGATTCTAGTACTGGGAATTTGTCCAGTGGGTTTGACTCATTGTCCTGATTTACACCTGTGAATTTATATTATATTAATTTCCATCTGTGTTTCTGTTTGCACCTGTGCAGAATGACTATGAAATGCTACCATTCTGGTTTGGTAGCAGTTTAGTTTTTCATGGTGTATATCTACCTGGGGGGTAAGGCTGTGGGGAAGCAGACTTGGTGTGTTTAATAAATGACTTGTCCTAATTTCAGCAGTCTCTAATTATTGTCTAAAAGCTGAGCAGATGAAAAGTAGTTCAAACACACAAACTTATTCCTACCAAAATGTTTGAATGTCATACATTATTTCTAAAAAAAAAAGCCAAAATTGCAACGTGTTAAATAGTGGGTATTTGTATTTTCAGATTAACAGAGCAAAACTTCCTTACTGGAAAATGACCCTGCTAAATATCTGCAATCTTGTCAACAACATAAACAACCAAGTGGGGGAAACAGTAGAGGTAGATGAAGAGGATCTCATTTCAGGAAGGCAGTTCCCTGCTGCTCTGGATGGCTTCAGCTTGGAAGCGATGCTGACAGTATATCAACTCCAAAAAGTTTGCCACAGCAGAGCCTTTCAGCATTGGGAGGTAAAACAAACTGTCACAAATGCATGTTTCAACTGCTGTTAAACTCTCAGGCTCTGTTGGTAGTGACATTTTAAAATCCATATCCATGTAACCCCCCTCACATTGTCTGAGTTTTCCCTCCCTTTTCTATTTCCTCTGATACCTCTAATATGCCTCTTATTGAAAGAGTTGAGAATTAACGTAGTTTGTGATAAGCTGAGTGTCGGGTTTTTGTAACGACCCATGGAGAAATGAGAACTATTCTTAACTACATACTTTCTTCACTCTTTGTAGCTATTCCAAGGAACCAACCAACCAAACACATGAAAGTGAGCTCTGTGCCAGAACACAAAATTAATACCTGCTTAACAGACCTGAAGTTACTGCAGATTTATTGAGCCATAACTAAATGTAGGCAGAGTTCTGAAAACCCTTTTAAGGCCCTAAGGCAAACTGAATTCAAAATGCATGGACACATGCCCATGTGTACGTGTAATATTCCCAGGTACTCTGGGCTTCTTACCATTGCTAGGAAACCAGTAGCAGGGGAACTCTTGCTTTTCACTTCCCCACACCTAAAGAGGACCTTGGAGGTTGACAATGTGATTGTATGTATAGCTGTTCTTAAATAGCGACTGTTTATAGTCCATTTATGATATTTATCTTAGTGCTGTGATCACATAGAGGCACACTGGGTTCAATCCACTTGCGTTGTTATATCTTACACTAAAAGCTGTTTTGTGTAGCAAAAAAAGATATCTCAATATCACTACCCACTTTCCAGTAAACTCAATTTTTTCAGCTATTGCAGGTTTATGGACAGTCTGACCAAATCTTGATGCTCTTTTGTTTGGTGAATCACAGCTCTGTATTTGCAGGCTTATTCTCAATCCTTCGTATTATCTAGGATGGCTGGTACAACAGACTGCAACATCTTGGAGAACCAAAATTTTCTGAGGACTCACTCCATCAGTACATTTATTGCTGAAAAGGAGCTACCATAGAACTGACTATATTCATTAGCCCATATAGCTTAGTCACAGTTCCTTACTTTGCAGTTACACCACCTCTTGTGGTGGTTGGGAATCATCACTTCTAACAGTACTGCATGTGAAATTGAAAAAAAAAATTCCTCTCTCCACTTAGGAACACACTTACACAGTGCGGAGGTTTATAAGGCACAATGAAAGAAGAAGAGATAGAGCCAGAGGTAGAAGGATTGAAGAAGGCTTGAAATAAGCAATTTATGTAATGAAAGAAGTTCTTGCGTTCTTATTCATCCAGGATTGACTCTTAAGTCTGTTGGAACCATGAGAGTCTTTCCATTCATTTCAACAGAATTTAGATGAGCACTCATGTATTAAGTAAATAACTGAGTAACAGCATTTGATTGCTTAGGGAAATACTGAGGTGAGTATAAAAATGTTTTCAGTTTAATGCCTTTCAGCCAGGCAATAGAACGGTAATTAAACATGGAAGAAAGTGGTGAGAGAATGGATGAAACCTTAACAGATAAAGCAAAAACCAATCTGAAAAAAAAGTTAAAAACTCCAAGTAAAACTCAAAACACAGTTATATAAGAAATTTTGATTGTCAAAATTTTGGCTTTCTTGTGCTTTATGTCATTTCTTGTTAATTACACATTTAATTTTTTAGCTGTAGCAAGTTGCAGATTAAAATATTGCTCAAAAGCTGAAACCAGCAAGCAGTGGGTGTTTTAGGAGGTGTTTAGCCTAAATGAGTGATTACAGAGTGACAATCATTCGGAAGTTTTCAGTCAAATTGAGTTTTAGTCCAAGAAGGAAATGCCAGCTTCTCTCTCTAGTCAAAACCAATGATCTCATTTGTTTCAGTGGAATCTAAATATCACCTCTGTAGGATTCAGCTCAGCTCATCTTTAGCTTGATCTTTGTTTCATGTCTTCAGTTTTGGACTTTTTTTTTCTTTTTTTTAAACTCACAACTATTATAATAAAGATTTTCCTTGGTGGCAGATGAAATTCTGTAAAACTTTCTAGGAGTTTATAAACTTCATTATCAAAAAAAGCTGACAACATTGTGTGTCTTCTTGCATCCTACAGTTACTTCAGCAAGATGCTTTTGATCTAGACAACTCAAGCCAGGACAAGGAAATAATGAAAAGAAAAAATCCCTATATTCTGAAACGGCAGCTACATGTGAACAAAGCTAGAAGACCATACATACTCAAGAGAAGTTCTTATTACTGATGCAGCAGAAGAAAACAATGTATATTTAGTTTATAGGTAACTGTGCATTATGGTTATCTTATTTAAATCTAAGATCATACTTGTGTGAAAATACATTATGGAAAATCATCAAGATGATAACATAACTGTGTCTTTTTTTGCAATTGCTGTTTCTTGATTGTGATTTTTTTCCTACTTGAGATTAATTGGACCAATACATTTGCAAATAAATCTAGTTTCTAAGCATGATGTATTGTACGAAACTGAGATATCAAAGTATTTCCAACAATATTGTAGTCTTTTCCCATTTTATAAAGCACATGACATACAACAAGTAAATTGATATTGTTTGTAAACCCTGCTGAGGATCTTATAATTTCTTAGCGCAACACCTCAAATATATATATGCTTATAAAATTTTTGAATAATACACTATTCAGAACTGCACAATTTTTAATTTTATTTATTCAATTTCAAAGTTCAATTTATTAAGGATTAGGCCTAAGGAAGGAAGGAAATACTGCCAGTTAACTATTAAATGGCAGTTTCAAAATATGTATTTTAAATAACCTGCTTGTAAATGAATTTTAAGTTCTTGACTCCTAATGTGCCACTGAAGAGTCATAATTTAGGAAAACAATATATAAATGGGACTTTAACACTAGTGAGAACAAACCCAGATGTGCTTTGGAGTCTTCTGTATCACTGACTAAATAAGGAAAACAGTTTATTAAATCAGTGAAGGAATTTAAACTGTTTACCTAATTTATGAATGTTTAGGAAAAAAAAATAAAGACAAAAAAAAAGCTGATTCATGCTCCTGTGCTGTCACTGTTAAAGTCAAAATACCAGTCTGGTTACATTAAAAAACTGGGACAAATATTTGAAAGAAAAATTAAAATTAGAACATCTCAAACTTAGAATTAAAAGGCATTTCCTTTCCCTCCCTTGACACATTTGTAGTAACAACAGGTAGTTTCAGGGGTTAAAGACAGCCTTGGAAGCTGATGAAGAGAGAAGGTCCCAGCATGGAAAAAATTGTTCTCAAGCTGTGAGGTATCAAGTGCCACCTGAAATTTACACATTTTCCTGCTCTTGTGTTTACATGAGGCTCGGGATCTTAATGGTCCTGGGTTCCAGTCTGGAGGAAAGCAGTCTGAAAAAACTGGGGGTCACAACAACAGTCAAAATAGAAGGACAGTCCAAGACCCCTGAAGCCTGGATGCTCAGGCCAGGAGGCAAAAAATGGGACAGACATTGCTTTTGAAAAGTTACCTGTTTTCTGTTTGAGGTATTTCCTCAAAGCAATGCTATTCCAAGAAATTTCCAGAAAAAAAACACTCAGAGAATTTCCAGATGCCCTCACAGGTCAGATTTTCTGTCAACTATTATAAACATGTACAGGGATATGCATAGTAAAAACATACACATAGCAATGGTGATACCAACAGTGTTACATGGTGAGAGATGGTTTTTTTACAGTTAATTATATTTCCTTTTCTCACTGCAAATGTTATTAATCAGTTTATTTATTCAATAGCCACTAAATGCACATGGCTACAAGATATAACTGAGCACACACTAATTACTGTAATAATCGTTATGACTTGAATACAGCAAAGCACTTAAGCACAATTGGTCTGAATGCTTTAAATGCTTAATGTGCTTAAGGGCTTTGCTTAAATAAGGTTCTATAAGATTCATTTTTTTTTAATGAAACTGTTGTAGAATTAGACTGGAGACACAGTATGCTCTCAAGGGGCTGAGAAACATCCCCCTTTCCAACAAACCTACAAGCTCCCTAGTCCTATTATGGATACTCTAAATTCTAAATTACCTGTTGGTCTGAAATAACAAAGCAGAATACAGTTTGTTCCAAAATACACTGATAGCAATATATAAGGAAAAAAGAAAAGAAACTTCAGACCACTATTTCATGGGGAACACAGAAGAGTAAGACAAAAAGAAATAGGTTGCCATGATATTTTTCTCTTGTGTTCAGTGTAAGAGTATGAGTTTAAAAAAAAGAAGTAGGTTAAGGTAATATGGTTGTCATCTGATGGAGAACATTAAATCTTTTGACAACAAAAGCACCCTTCTATGTTTCATTTTGGAGATGATTTAGATATTCAGAGTTATGGCAGAGGACCTCAAATGATGTTGATTAACTGTTCCACCCTTGTCTCGTGCTCCACACTGGAGTGGAACTTACCCTGAGACTGTGTACTCATTCCTTGCAGTGCAGAGTTAGCAGATTAGCCAGACTGACTGGCTGAAAATGGCTTAAAATAACCCGTTTCCTTTCAGCACGCTGTGAGTCCACACCCGGTCAGCTACTCTGTGTCACCGGAGGAGGCAGAGCTTAAAGTACGGCAGGACGTAGCTTGGTCAGTTATTCCCTCGCCTCTGATGGAGTTGTTTAGGGAGATGTCAGAAGAACGTTATCCAGAGTGAGAAACAGTCCTAACTAGACAAGGAAACAATATCCATAATTGTAACGTGGTCAGTAAACATACAAAAGGCAATGCTGGCATTTCAGCTTGCTGGTCATTGGTGAAAAGCAAGCACAGCAGCATTAAAATGCTAGAAAGCACACTTCAACCGTACGATTAAGCCAGATGCACAGAGCTGTTAAGAGGTATTTTGACGTCTGGGAGACCCTTATTTTCTTGAAATCGCCTGCCACTTCTAGCTGTTGCTACCTCCTGATGACCACACTGCTGTAGAATTGAAGCCTTCCCTCCTTTTTGGATGATGGCAGCAAAAAAATGGGCAGACTTATGCATATTTGTCTCTATTCCACACGTTCTGTCAGTGGAATCCTCAGGGTACCTGCCTTGGCCCTACCTGTACATTGCCTGCAATGTCAGTGAAGTATTTCCAGCAGCGAAGGGTCCTGAATGAAGTTCAAGGAGGCCCCTACAATTTGTAAACATTTGTAACTTCAGACAGATTTTCTTTTTTCTTTTTTTTTCTGCAGCTCATAATTACCTTAAGTTTAAAAATGTTGTTTTGAAGACCGTTAACTCAGATTTCTACCTTGGCTTAAAGAACTGCCTCTTGATATGGACAATTTTGTTTTATAAAGGCAATTACTGAGAGATTTGCTGTCGTTTTCTGTCTCCACGGAGGAGTACATTTTTCCTACATATTTCATGCTGATGTTTTTACAAAGTTCATAGATGAATAATTATAACAATTATTTGGACACTTAGTTATTTCTTATACTCCTAAAATATTAGCTATAGTTACACAGAGCAATTGCAGAAACCTGTCAGTTATTTCTAATGTAGAATTAAATGTAACTGAAATTTAATTTTATTTTTTATATTTTTAATAATTATCAGCCATAATCTTAAAAATGCCCTATACAAGAGAAGAAAAACATAGAGAAATGAGTAATTTTATCATCTCTGAATCATATATTTGTTAGTTTTTCTTTAAAAGAAACATAAGATATAATAGTTTCTGTTTTCAAGGTTAAATGTGGTGATGAAATAAGTCTTCAGCTTTCTAGAGTCTTGCTTGTGGTGTATTATAAAATTTGGTGTTTTCTCTCTTTTCTGTTATAAATCTAAACTTTGTTCTATGTTTTAGGTAAGAGTTTAATGAATGTGGTGTGAACAGAGTGGATGAAATGTGGAGTTTGCAGTTTAAAAGAGATTTAATTTTGCAATGTATGATTGTGGCTATGCCTCATACCCTGCTATTAACTAACACACAATGGACACATGAAAAATTGGTCTTGATCTTTATTGTTTTTTCCCCAAGATTAGTTATTAATTTGCACTATATGGTATCAAATTGAAGATGCAAGCCACCATTATAATGCTGGAGTGTAAGAGGGCAGAAAGAGGAGCAGGTTCTTCTGAAATTCCCCAAGGTTGCAGGCAGGTCATTGATGTTCTCCACATCCAAAGTATTGGACTGACTGAAGGCAGTCATAAAACAAGAGTTGCAGAGAACCTGCAAAATAAAAGTCAGAACTTGTACCTTGATGTCCACACAAGGCCTTCACAAGGAACCTGGGGAATGAGTTTTTTATTGCTACCAAATTCAAGCATTCAGAAGCTGGGAATGAGGCTGAAAAAACATGCAGATAAATAAATAGATACATGGGTAAATAAATAAATGAATAAATAGCCCTGACATCTAAATAAAGTAATAAATAGACATCAAATGATTTTTATTTCACTTTATTTACTGGACTGCCAGGCAGCATCTGAATCGTGCTTTTAAGCTTTGTCAACAAGAGGAGCTAAAACATAATTGTTCATTGCCACTGAAAATTGATATTCTCATCCAATCTCTTTAATCCAGCAGATGTCACATTAAGACAGACACAAAAGCACAACGTTGATGATCAGATTTCAAAACCTGTCAGATCCTGGATACTTGGATGGGTCTGACAGGCCCAATAATCAAACAGTGGGCTAGGAAGAACTTTGTGGTACCTTGTTACCAGGCAAGCTTTGGCTGGCCGAAAGACTCCACTGAGGTGGCAATACGGGGAAATGGCATGGGAGCCACCCAGGAACTTTTGGAGGGGTGTCAGCTATTCAGAAACATAAAGCCTTCAGGAGCTCTTAGTTGCTCATCTAAGGCTTGCTTTTTCCAAGTAGATGAAAGCATACAGCTGTTGTCTCAGGAGACTCCTCACATCCCCTCGTACAGAAGGAAAAAATGGGGCTATACACAACTGGACTTGAATTACCAAGGAATAGCATTTGTCTGTTTGAGCTCCCAGTGGGTCAAGTACCAGTCTGTTTTGTCTCAAAAGCTAAAGTGCAGTATTCGTCTGGAACCATTTTCAATCTTACTGTTGAAGTTCAGTTGTAGGAATCATTTGCAGGATATGTTTCTCTTATGTGTACATAAGGCGCTTCTCAGATAGTCTGCATATTGCTTTCAGAAATGACTGCCAGCAGCCTGAGGACCTCTGTTCAGATGTAGTGTCTAAGCTGCTTAACAAAGTGGTAACAGTATGTGAATGAAAAACTGCTGGGTTTGTACGTCAGTGAATCTGTTCTTGAGGGTAGACTGGAAACATCCTAAAAGACAATCTTGACATCATTATTGCAGCTTTTTCTGATACATTATTTAAAAATCCAAGCTGCATAACAGATTTTTGTAATCAAATATTTTAGAATTTAAGATATTTTTAACACTGTAAATATTTGACTAAAGGTCTAAAATAAATGTGTACACACACAAAAAAGAAAAAGAAAAAAGGGAGCTAGTATGTGCA